CATGCCCAAACCCACCTCAAGGATTTTTCACAAAAACCCATGGACCTGCACACTTCTATGAAAAAGTTCCACTCGATTCTGTCATAGGTTTTTTCCATATCGAGTTTGAGGGCCAAAAAATATTTTTTGCCTTTTTTCCTACTATTAATAAAATGCAAACACTCTTTAGCTATAATGATATTATCAAGGATCTGCCTACCTGGCACAAAAGCTGACTGGGAGTTAGAGATACAACAGTGAAGAACATTTTTCAATCTGTTGGCTAGGATTTTAACAATCAACCTATAGGTAATAGTGCAAAGGCTAATAGGTCTCTAATTAGTGATGGTTTTGGGATTTTTAATTTTAGGAATCAAGGTAATAATTGTATGGTTTGTGGCTCTAAGTATGCAACTAGAATTCAAAAAATTGGTGACAGCCAAAAATAAATCATGCTTAATAACATCCCATGCAGACTGGAAAAAAAGGGGAGAGTAGCCAACAATACCTGGGGCTTTATTTGGATCCATGGCCCACAAAGCAACTTTTATCTCCTCCTCAGTCACTGGCTTGGTAAGGTTCTTATTCATTTCAGTAGTTATGGACTTTAAAATCCCCTGCAATCCTTCCCTGTCAACCCCTTTATTTTTTGAAGTGAACAGATTTCCAAAGTACCCTGTGATTTCCTCCACTACCTCCTCTGAACTCTTGCAGATTTCCCCATTTATTTTCACCAGATGGTCCAAGCTGTTTCTTTGTCTTCTTTGTTTAACACAGGCTTGGAAAAACCTGGTGTTTTTGTCCCCTTCTCTCAACCAACTTACTCTTGATTTTTGCTTCCAGAAAGCCTCTTCCTCCATATATGCCTTGTGCACTTGTGCTCTACACTCTTGCCATTGTTCCCAGTCCCTCATCTCACCTTGAGCACCCAATCTTTCTAACTTGGCATTGCATTCTTTGATGATGGTTGTTGAATTCAAAGTCTGCCTAACAGCCCACCCCATCAAGTCAAACTTAACTTGCCTTAGCTTCTTCTGAAACATGTATAGATCAGGCCCTTGGACTTCCTTTTCCCAAACATTTTTAATTCACTCTTGGAATCCTTAACCTTTAACCCATCTATTATCAAACATGAATCTCCTTCTAACCTCTTTCTTACCATTCTCACTGTCCATCAGCAGCATGCAGTGGTCAGATGATACTAGAGAAATGTGTTTAACATAAGTCTCAGGTATTTCAGCATCCAATCAAGAGATAAGCAAATTCTATCTAACCTTTCTTCTACATAGTCCTTACCAGATCTAAGGTTAGACCAGGTAAATAGGTAACCCACCATAGCACATTCAACCACTCCAAGACTTTGCAGAAAACCCCTGAAAATATCAAAACTAGACTTCCCTCTCTCCACTCCCCCTCTCTTCTCTTCCCTGGTTAAAATATCATTAAAGTCCCCCCCAATAAACCAAATCTCTCCCCACCTGAGATGGTGCCTATGAATAATTTCCCATTGACCTTGCCTTTCTAAGGGGTCTACACTAGCATAAACAAAACTGTCCACCTACTATCAGCAGAATCAAAAAAAGAGAATTTGACTTCTAAACTAAATTGGTTATTAATAATTTCCAAAACAGAAACTTTGTCTGACCAACATAGCAAAAGACCACCTTTCCTACCAGTGGGATCAACACAAAACCACCTAGAATCTACATGCAGATTTTTACAAACAGTAGACACAAAAGCTTTTTTCTTTTTAGTTTCAGAAATAAATAGAAAATCTGAGAGGTAGGATTTAAATTGCTTCTTCAACTGGAAAATTGTAGAGGGTCCCCCCAAACCTCTACAATTCCACACCATTACCTTCATTTGGAAACTTGGGACCATTTATGGCTGGTTTCCTCCATCTTTTCAATAGTTAAATTAGCCAACATTTTAGCTTTTTTGTTATCTTGAACTATAATTTGCCCCTCGGCATTTTCAGAATCAGCTACTTTTCTTTTCAGACACTGACTACCAATTTGAATACCAGACACATTATCAGATTTAACCCCTTCTACACTTTTGACCTTAGCCCTTGATTTTTTACTCCTAGTCACCCTAACAAAAGACTTAGGGGTCTTAACTCCTATGTTATCATGTTGTTCAGATTGCACAATAACATCAATGAGATTATTAATATCTAGTTTATCCCCCTTAGAAGAATCAAGGTCCATAGGCATCACAGGGTTAGTCTCAAGGCTTAAAGGCTGGGTTTCCACTCTCTCACTTACTACCCCTGACCCACACACTTCTTTCTGTATAGGTTTAGGAGGAATTATAGACTCTACAACAACTTCCACTAGCCCCTCTCCCACACTCTCAGTTCCCAAGTTTGATGCTTTACCTAAGCTAGGCTCTCCCCCACCTCTGATTGTAGCTTGAGGTGACTCAGAATTGGATTGAACTCCCTGAGAACTTGGAGACCTAGTCTCCCTGTAGATCCCAAACCCCCCCCCTGGAGCTCGGAGCCAATCACCGTATTGACCATTTTTAAACACATTTCTCTGTATATCTGATTTCATGGTATCACATACTCTATCACTGTGACCAATTCTGCCACAGTAAAAACAGAAATGGAGCAAGTTTTCATACCTCAGATCAATCCAATGTTCCTCTTGCCCCAGCTTGATCATAGTGCCTCGAGGTATAGGTTTTGAGATGTTTTCTTCTACCAGAATTTTAACAATCTTGTTGTTGCTTACACCAGGGCCCGGAGGGATGACATCGAGAATGTTTGAGAATAGCTTGCCTACTTTAATACCCGTCTCCGCGGAGAGCCAATGCAATGGCAGGTTGTGGATTTGGACCCGAAGTTCAACTTTCATGTCTCTCTCATGGAATTGGGTATCATCTTTCTTCCATTCTTTCAACAGTAGATATTGGCCGTCAAAAGTCCAAGCCTTCCCCTTCAAAACCTTTGCCTTGTCTTCCTCGGATTGAAATAAGAACTGGAACAGATTTGGTTCTAGAGCCCTAATTGAGAATGGTTTCGCTGTTCTCCATACCAACCCCATTGTGTTGCGTAAACCCCCAATACTAGCCTTTTTCTCCCCCACAATCTTCCCCAGTAGGCTCAGCCAACATTCTGGAACTCCTAGTTCTATATCCGATGAGGAAATTTCTATTCCCGACCTTTCCTTGTCCGAAAATTCAAATCGCTTCATTTTATCAAAAATATCTTGCTCCATAACTACCTAGATGTTTTCGAACCTTACAAATCCAGGCCTGAGAGATCGATCAGTCACCGAGTGAACCGGAACCAAACGGTTCAGCCCAACCTACAAACACCAGGAAAACGCAATATTCAAGAAAGAGAAAGATCAAAGAAAATGAGGACTAATGAGCGAAAGAGAAAGAAAGAAAAATGAGAGAACGAAGATGGATTAAGAAATCCTGATTTACAGGAACCGAAAAACCCTAGCTAAGAGGGAGGGGCTTCCAACGGGTGGAACTTGGATATGTGTCCGAATACTGACACATGAATTCAACCAATTCAACAAATTTGAGTTAAATCCATTGAAAATTAGCCAATCAAAATCAATTTACCATTTAAATTTGCACCAAATTGAAATTTGATGGTTTTAAATAATTATAGGTAAATATCATAGGATCCAAACCAAGTGAAAACTTAAGGATTTATTTATATAGTTATGCAAGAAAAATAAATTCATCCCGAACTGATGAATTCACGGTTACAGAATAAATCCAAACTGAATCCATATACTAAATTTACAAATTCGAAACAGCAGATCAATGAATCGAAAATAAATTGATTCTTCAAAATCCAATATGAAGAGGCTCTGATACCAATTGATAGAAACTACATTAACTTTATTCGAAATAAATCAATATTTAATCCCAACAACGTTCATATTGAATAATCAAGAATCATAACCGAATAGCGGAAGCATACCTGATGGATTCATGTTGATTGATTATTTAGATTTGAGATTTTAGAAATCTTCCAAGAGACCGTGATCCTTATTTTCTTCTTATTTTCTTCTTCTCGGACGTATGAAAAGAAATCAAACAATTTTCTCTTATGAAGAACTTGACAAGCCCAACCCCACTTTTTATAACTGATAATTGTGGCATATTGTTCAACTAATTGCCAACCAACACTTAATGCCACACTTAATGCAAAGTGTCGGCAACTACTTTGCATTTTTTTTAATTTCGTGTGGGTTATCCTAATGGGCATCACTTTATTTTCACGACTTTTGGGGACTCCACCCATAAAGTAATAATATTACTGGGTGTCCACATTTAATCATTCCACAATCTAAATTAAGTTCATTAACCAATGTACAATAATTTAATCACTTTATTTGGCTAAACAATATAATGACCCAATGTATTAATTACACATATTTAATCCCAAAATAGATCTAACAACGTGCACCCAGCGAACCGTTTCACGATCGCTAGAGCACCTGCGTTCACCGTTCTTTCCGACGAGATCCCCAATTCGTCGTCGAAGTCCGCACAGCAGAGCATCCGTGTCGTCGGGAAGCAGGAATTACGAGTCAGCCGTGTCCAGCCCCTTGTGTTCGAAATTTCAAAATTTCGAGGCCGTTTGGAACGTCCGTTGGACCCGTTTTCTGATAGCTCGTAGATTCCCGAAGACGGGTAATCTTTCGAACCTCCTCGTTATATTTCTGTGTATATTCGGGGAATATAATCATACTCTTTGAATCTATTTCTAGTGGAGTGTTCGGATTATTTATCGGTTCATATGTTTGTTGTGAGTTTAACTGGGAATTTTTATGTGGATTATTGGACTCTCGTTCATATATTTCAAACGATGTTTTGTTGTTGTCATTTCTCGCGAGTTTCGGAGTCCCGTTTTGTTATTTCAGAGTCTCGTTATACTTACCCGAGCCGTCGTCTTGTTATTGCCGTTCATATAGCTTTCGAGCCGTTACGCGTCGTTTCATTTCCGAGAAAACCCGATTTTATTAAACATTTCAAATTCTGAGATTGGTGTAAATTCGTAAAACTTGTAATTTTCTGAAAAAATTTCGAACCCTGTGCGTACCAAATTTTCAAAACCTGTTGCGGGGAATTCTAGTACAGTCTGTTGCAGCTTCTTTCATATTCGCAGGCTTTTGTTTAATTCAGCAATCTATGAATTCATTTGATCTAGCATCCAAGCGTGTTGTACAGTGGTGTACTCACTCATCACTATGAGAGAGGTCCTTTGTTCGAACCCCGACCTTGAGCATTCTTTTTGGTCCTATTTTCCCAGTAGAGCGGGCTTCCCAGCCCGCAGGAGCCCGCGTCCTTCACCTCCTTCGGCCCGCGAACCCGGTGTAAGCCCGCGCCACTTGCATCCTATTAGCTGGTCGGTCTGGCGGCCCAATTGTACAATTGTGGCCCAATTTCCGCTCACCTCAGGCCCAAATCCGCGGTAGTTAGTGTGTAGTGGCCCAGTTTGACTTTTAGACCAGTTTTATGTCTCGGAATCCTATTTTAGTCCCGAGACTCCAATTTTGGTTACCCGAGTCCTATTTTGCAAAAATGAGAGTCCCAAGTCCACGAAAAATCCGATTAAAACCCTTAAGTCTTAATTTTTATTAAGTATGGGTTTTATATTAAGTTCGAGTAGTGAGATAGAATATTGATATATTATCTCTTAAATGTAGGTGTTTGAGGAGTCGAGCCCTCAACCTACGTACTTGCTTTTGTGTGCAATATTCTACCACAATTTCCAGGTTGGTTTTATTTAAAATACTATGCAATAAATTGTTGCCTTACGTGTGGTATGATCAATGCATATATGTGAAATATGTAGCCTTCGATGTGAGCTGTGTCAGCCGTCGAACGGTTATCCCCGTAACTGTAAAGCAAAACTCGTGGGGTTTACTCCTACCACTTGCACCGATAGAAGCCCGAGGGGCATTCTGTGTAGAAGCCTGAGGGGCATTAGACGTATAAGCCCGAGAGGCATTCGATAAAAGCCCATGGGACATTCGATACGTCTACCAGCAGTAGTCTATTGATATTAACGTTGATTATTGTTGTTCGCTATGAAAATGAGTAACGCCACAATGATTTTAAAATAAATTTTGAAAAATTTATCCTGAATTTTGGCAAATAAAAGTGAGGCGTTACAATTATTCTTTCTCACTGTAGACAATCAAATTTTGAGCCAATTAAATGGCGACAAGTGTCAAATTTCATGTCAAAATCAATTTAATAATTTTCTATTTTATTTGGGAAATTAATCACATTTTAATTCCTAAATTAAATAGTTAATTAATTAATTTTTTTAATATATATTGTTGGCCAATTAAAGAATGCCACATGTATATTTTGAGGGCCAATTAAAGAATGCCACATGTCATTTTCTTGGAGAGTAAAATAAATATTTATTTCTTTAATAATTATTAAAGAGATAAATAAATGGAAATTCATGGACCAATCAGATTGAAGTCTTCTTTTCCAAGACTCTCTCTCCTAATTATCTCTTTAAATAATTATTAAGAG